ATAGAATAGAATAGAATAGAATAGAATAGAATAGAATAGAATAGAATTCTTTATTTGCCAAATGTGACTGGAAACACAAGGAATTTTTCTTGGTGCAATTGCTCTCAGTGTACATAAAAAGAAAAGATATATTCATCAAGAATCATAAGGTACAACACTTAATGATAGTCATAGAGTACAAATAAGCAATTAAATCATACTAGGAAACAGTCAATATAAATTGTAAGGATGAATTTAACCATACTTCTTTAAAAATTGTTTTTCTATTAATACATTTTAGTGCTTAATAAACCTCAGGTTATCTGGGTATTTAATTTGCTTAACAATACAAATTTATATAATTCTTTATTGACCAAGTATGATTGAACACACAAGGAATTTGTCTTGGTGCAGATGCTCTCAGTATACATAAAAGAAAAGATACATTTGTCAAGAATTTTACATTCTTACATTCTTAATCTCCACCCCCTTTTTCCAACCATTGGTAAAAATAGATTCCATGTTTGATAATATTCTACATCTTCTTTCTGTTTAATTTTCAATGTCAATCTATCCATTTCTGCACAATCTAGTATCTACCCGACTATTTCTTCATCTCACAGTATATCTTCATTTTTCCACCATTGTGTGAATATAATCCTCGCTGCTGTTAAGACATGTAATATTAAGTACATACTTTTCTTATCAATTTTTTCTAATATTATACCTAATAAAAACAATTCAGGTTTAAAATCTACATGTTTCCCTATCATCTTTTCTAGCCATCTATGTATCTTTGATCTTTCCCTTTTTCTTTTGCGCAAGTCCACCACGTATGATAAAATGTGCCCATTTTTAGTTACATTTCCAGCATATAAATTTAGCCATACTGAAGCTTCTGTTGAAGATGAATGGATATGGCACATCTCATAGCTTCCATTGTTCTCCAGTGGTCTAGTGATTAAGGCACTAGGCTAGAAAGTGGGAGACCATGAGTTCAAGTCTCCCCTTCACCAAGAAAACCAGCTGGGTGACTTTGGGTAAGTCCCTTTCTCTCTCTCTCTCTCTCTCAGCCCAATCCACCTCACAGGGTTGTTGTTGTGGAGAAACTAGGAAGAGGAAGGTATATTGGAAGATAAAAGGGGAAGAGGAAGGTATGCGCACCGTCTTGAGTTATTTGAAAAATAATAAAGGCAGGATATAAATAAATAAGCAAATAAAAATACTTATTCACTACTTTCAGTTAAGCTATGTTCTACACAGCATAGGAAAGGACTAAGAAATCATCAGCATAAGAAATGAAGGATAGGAACTAAGATAAATTATTTTAAGCTCATTAAGTAATATTCAAGTTACACCAACATCATTTACTACTCAGTATGTCTCCATGTCTTTCTATCCTTGAAAACCATCCTCTCTTTCCCTGTAGGCAAACACCACTTCATGGAGTACCTGTGATTCTTTAAACTTCTCACCTCTGCCTTTCTGATGATCCCAACACTCCTTAGGCATGAAGTTCTTGTTCTGCTCCTTTCCTTAAACCGTTCACTCTTGTTTCATATCTTTGTTTATTTGTATCTTGTATGAGAAGTTCCCAGGAGCCCATGTAGAAGAAGATAAACACTGATTTGAGGGGGTCTCAGCTCAAATTTGAAACCAGTGTCCTATATCATGGCCACCTTTGGATGGATGGATGGATAGTTGATGGATGGATGGATAGATAGATAGATAGTTTAGTTTTATGGATCATATGAATCCATAAGGATCATATGGATCCTTTAGGGGTCATAAAGAATGGTGCCTGTGGAAGGGAGATCAGCATCAGCAAAAAAATGGGTGCTGTGATGTAGCTTCCTTTGAAGATATGTACAATGTCAGCCTATATGCTAATGGGTAGAGGGTTTCTCTTGTCATGCCCATCCTGCCATTTTGACAATTTTAACTCCCTCCACCATGGATGGTCTTGTTCATGAAAAGCAAATGAACTGGGTTTCTACAACAGTGTGACACATGCATACATAAACCTATATCTACTGTAAGTTTGAAAGTGACCTAGCAAATACTAGATCTTTAAGTGTATATTCAGCTCTTGTGTAAATATATTCAGCAATGATGTAGACAGTGTGATGAGAGGCCAGAAAGTTGGATCAGGAGCAGATTCTCTATTTTAAACCTTCTCACATACCCCAGAATTTAATTCATTTGATTTTGTTTCTCCTTACAAGCTTCCTGAGAAACTAACGTAGGAGGAAGTTCCTGCTAGTATGTAGAGTAGAACCAAGGGGAACATCAAATTAACATACTTTTTCGATCACAGATCTGTTTCTATCACAGATGTGTTCCATGAGCACAATAATTATGTTTGGTTTTCCTGGGTTTTACATGTGCAGTCAACCCAAACCATGTATCCATCCAACCATCAGTCAGACCCATGGAGAGATAATCTTTCTCAAATAACGATGCAAAGCAAGGTTTAACTTTCTAGTCCCATAATCCTGGCTTTTGTTCTGCAGTTACAATTACAAAAGTATCACAGTTTCCTTGGCCAATTCATCTACAAGTGTTTCAGCCTGTGTGCCAGGATCTTCCCAACATTACACTCTTGCCGAAACATCCCACAATGCAACTATGGTTGGTAAGTAAAAAAATTTCCAGTGGCCTTGGGCCTTTGTAGGGGAAGGCGGAGTCCTGCATTTAGCGGGAAAACTATCTGGTGGGAAACTATGGCCCTTTTATGACCTGTGGACTTCAACTCCCAGAATTCCTGAGAATGGCTGGCTCAGGAATTCTGGGAGTTGAAGTCCACCAGTCAAAAAAGGGCCACAGTTCCCCACCTCTGAAAAGAGTGAGCATTCAGGTGTTAAGTATCCACAAGGAAGCCTGGAAAAATTATCTCATTCTTCAGGTTTGTAATACTGTAAATCTACTCTTTAGATGGTTCACATGTTGTCCTTGTTTGCCTAGCAATCCATACCATGATTTTCCAGTTTGATCAGGTTTTTTTGCCCTTACAAATCAAAGTAAACTTTCTTGTTTGGAGTGGGCTCATGAAAAATTCAAGATGTGAAATAAACACTCTTAGGTTTAAGGACGTAATCTGAGAAAGCCCCGGAAGCCATATTGGACTTGATAGGTTTCTTGAATTGAAATAAGCGGGTGAGATTAATTATTTGTCCCTTGAGAGGAATTAGTGCCACTCTTCTAGGCTAAAATAGATGAAACTAAAACATGAAGAATGGTTGCAGGAAGTGGGTATGTCTTGTTTAATGAAAAGAAGGACTAGGGGCTGTTAGCAATGTTCTGATATCTGAAGGGCTGCCCCAAAGAAGAGTGGGTCAATGTATTCTCCAAAGCACCTGAAGGCAAGACAAGAAGCAAAGGGTGGAAACTAATCAAGGGGAGAACAAACCGAGAAATAAGGAAAAATTTCCTGACAGAATAATTAATCAATGGAATGACTTGCCTCCAAAAATTGTGGGTGCTCCAACACTGGAGGTCTTTCAGAAGAGATTGGACATCCATTTGTCTGAAATGGGTTTCCTGCCTAATCAGGGGGTTGGACTAGAAGACCTCCAAGGTCCCTTTCAATTTTGTTTATACTGTTATTCTCCCCACAGAGTTACTTGTGCCCATTATTCAGGGGGAGAGGAGATGATACTTACTGAGGACTTGCAAGGAAGTTTCTCTCCTGTCATCCATCAAAGCTATCTCAGCTTTTGGAATTATTATCACACTTGCTTGAACAATTTACCCGTGTCACAAGAGCTAGAAACGTGCCTTAGAGTAGACACTGGCTTGCAAGGTTTGGAATCAGTGAAGTTGAACAGGTAGTCCTTGACTTAAAATCATTCATTTAATGACTGTTTAAAGTTACAACAGCACTGAAAAAAAGTGGCTTAACACCAATTCTCACACTAATGACCATCGTGGCTTCCTCACAGTCAAAATTCATGTGCTTGACAACTGGCAGAAATTTACAATGGTTGCAGTGTCCCAGGGTCATGTGATTAGCATTTGCAACCTTCACAGCTAGTTTCCAAGAGGCAAAGTCAACGGAGGAGGTTGGGTGAGCTGTGGTGGTGCAGTGGTTAGAATGCAGTACCACAGGCTACTTCTGCCGACTGCTGGCTGACTGCAATTTGGCAGTTCGAATCTCACCAGGCTCAAGGTTGACTCAGCCTTCCGTCCTTCTGAGGTGGGTAAAATGAGGACCCAGATGGTTGGGGGCAAGAGGCTGACTCTGTAAACAGCTTAGAGAGGGCTGTAAAGCACTGTGAAGCGGTATATAAGTTGAAGTGCTATTGTTATTCGCTTCATGACCATGTGATTCATTTAGCAACTGCAGTGGTTCACTTAACAACCGTGGTTAAAATAAGGTTGTAAATTCGGACGCCACTCACTTAACAAGTGCCTTGCTTAGCAGTGAAAATTCTGGTCCCATTTGTCTTCCTAAGTCAAGGATTAGCTGTTCTTTGGAAAGAAAATTGTAATGCTTGGGTAGTATTGTGACCAAGCTGTGGACCTCACAACTTCTTGGGGCACCTTCTGTTTTCAGGATGTGAAAAAATGGCAAGTTCCTACTTGTGGATCTTTGTGCTTGCTGGGAACCTTCTACGTGGAATTGGAGAAGCCCCTATCATGCCCCTGGGGATGTCTTACATTGATGATTTTGCCACAGAAGAAAACTCTGCCTTTTACATAGGTAAGATAAAGGCAATCACTCTTTCTCTCCTGAATTTGAGTATTACAACGGAGGTGGGACCAATGATATAGCTATCCCAGCCCTCAGACTTCAACTCCCAGAATTCAATTCTGCCCAATGACTGGGCATTCTGGGAGATGCAATTCCAGCCTGGTTAGAAGGCACCTTTGGGAGAAGGCGGCGGGGGGGGGGCTCAATTCTTGTCTTTAGTAGGTTAAAATGGTTGAATCCTTGTGATTATTTCATCGCAAGGATCCTTAAGTAAGTCTGCATTAAAAAACCATCCATAGAAATTCAACAGAGGGTCAGTAAATTAGTTCTGAGACACAAACCCCATTTTTCTTGCTGAAAATTTATTTATTTTATTTATTTATTTTTGTCAATTGCTTACCAGATAATAGGAAAAAGTAAAGACATAGTTATGAATAAAAGAAAGAATAGGACAGGGTTGGTAGGCACGTTGGTGCATTTATGCATGCCCCCTACAGACCTTTTAGGAAAGCAGTGAGGTCAATAGTAGACAGTCTAAGGTTAAAGTTTTGGGGGTTTGGGGAAGAAACCACAGAGTCAGGTAGAGTATTCCAGACATTGACCACTCTGTTGCTGAAGTCATATTTCCTGCAATCAAGTTTGTTGCAATTAACCTTGAGTTTGAATCTATTGTTTGTTCTTGTGTTGTTATGGTTGAAGCTAAAGTATCCATTGACAGGTAGGACATTGCAATGTATGATTTTATATACCATACTTAGATTGGACCGAAGGCAGCGTAGTTCTAGGTTTTTCAGGTCTAGAATTTCAAGTCTGGTGGCATAAGGTATTCTACAATGAGTAAAAGAGTGGAGAACTCTTGTGAAATATTTCTGGACTTTCTCAACTGTGTTAATATCAGATACATAATGTGGGTTCCAGACTGATGAGCTGTATTTGAGTATTGGCCTAGCATAATGTTTGTATGCTCTAGTTAGTAGTGTGATATTACCAGAGAAAAAGCTATGTAGGATTAGGTTAACAACTCTGAATGCCTTTTTGGCTATGTAGTTACAGTGGGCTCTAGCACTTAGATCATTAAAGATGAGTCCTCCAAGATCCTTGACAGAGTTTGGATCATCAACAAGGTCTTGACTATTTAGCCTGTATTTTATTTTCTGATTTTTTTTGCCAATATGTAAGACAGATCATTTATTTGTTGAGATTTGAAGTTGCCATTTGTTTGACCATTCTAATACATAGTCAAGGTCTTTTTGAAGGGTAGCAGTATTGTCTGTGGTGTTGAACAGCTTTACATCATCAGCGAAGAGAATGCAGTTGCTCTTGATATGATCACAGAGGTCATTTATGAGAGAAGGGATTTTGCCAGGTTTTGGAGAGTGAGAACAGAGGATATTTTGGGAAGAAAATTGGGAGAAACAATGAGTAGTTTAGTAGTAGTGGTGTAGTTGTAACCTAATTCTACTTTGTTGTCGGGTTATGTTAACAAAACTTGCAAGTCTGAAAGTACATATCCCACACCGTAACTTTTAAAAGCCTGATAAGTTAGGGAGGATCCTTTCTGAGTGCCTTTCTCTACCCCTTATACAGTTCTGTGTCCCACCCTTCATCTGTGTCTCTTCCCCTATATCCCATGGTCATCCCACATACAATTACCCTCATCCACATGTTTCAAAATGCAGATAAGATCAGGTATGACATACCAGGTCCACACACAGAAGTTCCAGATCACTGATTTATTGTTAAAGCCTATACACTGGTATTTTCTCAGACTAATGTTTAGCATCTGGTTAGAACTAGATAAGGGTCAGCGGTGTTCAAGAGGAGTTGGACTTAGTTCGCTTGTGGCTACATAATGATTCTAAAGTGATGCCTCTTTTAACTCCTCCCTTGGCTCTGTCAATCCTTCTCTTACAGATAGAATCATTCATTTTCCCAACCTTAAAGGTAACAACACCTGCCTATTTTTTAGCAATAATATGGAAGTAATTTGCAATTGCTATTGTCACTGCTGGGTGGATGGATGGATGGATGGAGGAGGATGGGAAAGAGGAAAGGAAAGATGGTAGATGTTCCAAGTCAAGTTTTCAATTCTGGGATTTTCTGGTGGTCTTCATTTAAGTACATTTCAAATATCGCCTTGCTTAGCTTTGTGAGCAGTCAAGGTTGGTTTGATGCAGCCGCCTGCTGTAGACCCCATTCTTCATCTGTGTTGAAGTCTTGTTCTGCAGATGTTCCTGTACTTAGGTTAACTCATCTTTTGTAGGAACTGTACGGTCTGCAGGGATGTTTGGGCCGTCTCTTGGCTTCCTGCTTGGAGCTTTTTGTGCCAGTTTGTGGGTTGACATTGGAGCAGTAAACCCAGGTAAGGAGCAAGTATCACCTCCAATGTTTCTCCTCAGCCATTTTTGTCTTTTTAACTGGTAGACATTTGCTAGCCAGACACCAAAACTTTGATTTAATGAAGTCCCAGTTAGCAAACTTCAGATGCATCGGACAACATTACTGTCCAGACATTATTCTAAAAGAACTCAGGTCCATTGTTTCTGAAAAGGCTATCAAGTATGCATTGATTTTACATTGTTTTTTATGAGATGGGGCAAATTAATCCTTTGTGCCAATTTTATTTCATTACACAGATGATAACAATTAATACAAATGACATGCTTTGGGATTTAACAGACATCTGGGAATAATTGACAACCTTTGCCCATTTCCCCACGAGTCTATTAAACTGATGTTTTAAGTTTCCTATTTTGTGACTAGATAAGTATAGGAAGGAGAGAATGATATAAGAAAATGAATATTTGGACCACATTGTAGAGATCCTTCCCTAATGACTTGATTACAACAAGCTAGACTAGGCTTAAAATAAGCTTGCTTACAAGCTAATATGTCATGGAAACCCAGCTATTGCCTTAGCATTGAGTGCAGAGGTGGTATTCAGCCAGTTCTGACAGGTTCTAGACGACCAGTAGGAGAAATTTTGAGTAGTTCAGAAAACCGGTAAATACCACTCAGGTTGGCCCTGCCCCCATTTATTCGCTGCTGATCAGTTGGGTCTTCTTTTGTTGCCCTGCACAGGAGAATGGAGCTGGAAAGCAGGCTAGTGGGGTGGGGAGGGAATGGGATTTTGCAGTATATCCTTCCCCTGCCATGCCTACCAAGCCACGCCCACCAAGCCACACCACACCACACCCACCAAGTCACCCCCATAGAACCGGTAGTAAAAAAAAATTGAATACCACCACTGATTGAGTGTGAACGAAGCAATTACATGAAGCCATCCTATAATTGGGTCTGTTACAAGTGACTGGTCCACAGAAAGTGAGTTAAGATATCAGACTAGAAATGGGTAGATGGTGACTTCTAGTCTCTCCTACAAAGCCAGTTGGATGACCTTGAGCCAGTCACTCTGTCTCAGGCCCCAAGAAGGAGGTAATAGCAAACCACTTCTGAAAAACCTTGCCAAGAAAACCACAAGGCCATCTGCAAGAATCAGACACAATTGAGTTGAACAAAAAAGCAACAACCCACAACCTACTTGACTTGGTTGCTAGAAGAGTCCACTTTCTTGCCTAATCGTTTGAATGATACAATAAGCAAGAGGCCAGGTTGTGCACATGTAAAACAACCTAACCTTTGCTTATGATAATAAAGCGCCTTCAAATTTAGAGGAGCTGATAGGGAGCTGTTCAAATGGAACTGAACTGCGTGTTGTTAAACCATGTTTAAGATTCAACATGCCATATGAACACCATGAACGTTAGGTCCTGGTGAATCCAAGGGATGTGCTTAATAGAAAATGTACTAAGAGCCTTCATATGCAAGTTTGCCTCTCTTTTTTCCCCTTTTCTCCTAGATACACTGACCATCAATTCCAAAGACACACGTTGGGTTGGTGCTTGGTGGCTTGGGATATTGATCTGTGGTGCCACCAGTTTTATGTCATCTCTTCCTTTCTGGTTCCTGCCTTACTCTTTGCCACAAGAAGGAGAACAAGTTGTTAAGAAGTCAATGGAAGTTTATGGAATCGCTCAAGTCGGCCAGAACAAACTGGAAGCTCCGAGACCCCCACAGCTAAAGGTTTCAGAAGTGGCAAAAGGTGATTGAATGACCTCTCCACAAGTAGCTCGTTCTGAGCTTTGTAACTAAACCTGTGTTCTCTAACCTTTTACTCAATTGCCAGAGTCACTTCTTAGACTGAGACGGATGGCATTTAAATTTAATAAATAAATGTAAATGAAAGGGCTATGGTTTCCAAAAATATCTTTTTGGAAACACGTCCATTTTTAAATATAATTTTATTTTAAAAGATTAAAATTAAAAGAGGAAAAACTGATTAATTTTAATCGGAAGAGAAAAAAAGAAAGCGTGGGAAAGAAAAAATAGAAAAGAAAGAAAAAAATAACATACTGCAATATAAAAAAGAAATTGTTTCTTTATGTAATGATTTCCATCTTCATCACAAAAAGTATAAACAGTTTTAGTAATTTATCACCTCCCTTGAAAATACATCATGTATTTTCCCATATCCCGCTCTTATCTATAAGCAAGTCTTTAAATTCTTATAATTCAGTCCTAATCAGTAAAGTCCATTAACAGTTAGCAGAGATAATAACAGCTATTTTAACCCTGATCAAATAAACCAACTTTATATCCCTTCCTTTTTCTTTTAACTATATTGATTTTTAATCCCTTTCAAATAATATCCTATATGTTTTTTTAAAAATTTCTTTGCCCTCCTCACAAAATTCTTCAAAGCTTTAACAATTTTTTTTTTGTAAAAGCAATTTTTCCAAATTAAATCCAACACCTAAAAGTTATCCAGGTCACTCCTATGATTTGTTTTACTGTATATCCCATTTTTTATTAAGACATCCACTGGTTTCAATTGTATAGCCAGGGTTGCATGTTTTTCCATACCATTCTTCTAGCCTGACATTTTTAAATCCACTTTCAGATCAGTCTGGTTTATCCAGTGAAAAATGTTCCTCTTCCATAACATATTTTCATATGTATTCATTATTACAGGAGATTTTAATCATATAGATCTTCGTGTGGTCCTCCCTAAATTCTATCAACATATAAGGTGTGCAACTAGGGGATTGAACACCTTGGATAAGGTCTACACGAATATTGTAAATGGATACAGGGTATTACAACTACCACATCTGGGCCAGTCAGATCACTTGTCTCTGCTTTTAGCCCCGGAGTATATTCCTCTGAGAAAACAGGCGGGGTCGGTAGTCAAGACGGTGAAAAGCTGGCCAGAGGGAGCAATGGAGCAGCTAAAGGACTGCTTCGAACGCACAAACTGGGAAGTTTTTGATCATCCTGATCTCAATGAACACACGGCTGCAGTGCTAGGGTATATGGCACACTGTATTGATACTGTCACGGTGGATAAACGAATCCGGGTGTATCCTAATGAAAAACCTTGGATGATCGGGAAGGTTAGACGCTTGTTGTACGCAAGAAATAAGGCTTTTATGTCTGGGAATGATCTAGATTATAGTGCTGCAAGAACAAACTTGAAGAGAGGTATTAAGCAAGCTAAGGCCGAATATAAGAGGAGAATTGAAGACTGCTTTCTCAGTAATAACATGAGGCAGGTTTGGCAGGGGGTTCAACAACTAACGAACTATAAAGCAAAAAAGGTCTCTTTGGATGGTAGTGCGGCGGTGGTTGAGGAGTTGAACAATTTTTTTGTTCGATTTGAGATCCATCAAACTGAAACTGTCCCTTTGCCATCATTTACTCAGCAGAGCCTCCCCTTCATTGTGAATGAGCAGGATGTGAGGCAGACAATGAAGGCGGTTAATTCCAGAAAGTCAGCTGGGCCCGACTCAATTCCTGGTCGTGTGGTAAAAGATTGTGCTGATTAGCTAGCTGGGGTGTGGACTGAAATTTTTAATTGATCCTTGACACAAAGTGTGGTTCCTGTGTGTCTCAAGGCTTCCACCATCGTTCCACTGCCTAAAAAGTTGCCCACAAATGGTCCTAGCGACTATAGGCCGGTGGCACTAACTTCTATCTTAATGAAGTGCTTTGAGAAGCTAGTTCGAAATTATATTATCTCCTGCCTTCCTGATTCCTTTGATGGGCTTCAGTTTGCTTAAAAAGAAAATAGATCAACCGAGGATGCAATTATTACTGTGCTTCACATGGCCTTATCCCATTTGGAAACACCGGGGAATTATGTAAGAATGTTGTTCGCAGATTTTAGTTCTGCTTTCAATACCATCATACCGCACAGATTAATAGCCAAGCTCAAAGATCTAGATTTTCCAGATTCTATTTGTTTATGGATATTGGATTTTTTAACAAATCGTCCACAAAGAGTTAAACTGAATGATTATATTTCTACTGTCAAGACACTTAGCATTGGCACTCCGCAAGGTTGTGTCCTTAGTCCACTACTGTTCTCCATTTATTCATCTGATTGCACAAATAAACATCCCAACAATAAGATAATAAAAATTTGCAGACGATACTACGCTTGTAGGACTTATTTCTGGGGATGATGAGTCTGCATATCGGGATGAGGTATTACAGCTATCCCACTGGTGCAAAAATAATAATCTTCTATTTAACATTAAGAAGACCAAGGAGGTTATAGTGGACTATAGGAAAAAAAGAGCAGACATTCAGCCACTGTATATAGAGGGAGTTCGTGTGGAACAGGTGGTTGAATGTAAGTATCTCGGGACCATCATTACAAATGACCTGACCTGGAGTGCAAACACTGCTGCTTTAATTAAGAAGGCACAACAACGATTGTATTCACTAAGGATTCTTAGGAAACAACAACTGGCTGAGAGTCTACTGACTACCTTCTATCAGAGTTCAATTGAGAGTATATTATCCTACTGTCTCTGTGTATGGTTCTCGAGCTGCACAGTGGCAGAGAAAAAGGCAATTCAGAGGGTGATTAAGATGGCCCAAAACATCATTGGCTGCTCACTCCCCTCTTTGGAAGAACGGTATAGGAATAGATGTAAGAGGAAGATATTTAATATATTGAATGACTCCTCTCATCCGGGACATCAGCTCTTTGAACTATTACCATCGAGAAGGAGATTCAGGGTATTAAGAACAAGGACGACTAGATTTAAGAACAGTTTTTATCCAAGTGCAGTTTTGAGTTTGAATGCAGGGTCATAAGATTTTTGTGGAATTTAATGGCTGAAAGTAATGGGGTATTTACATTTTTAAATTGTATAGAGATTATTGTATGGTCTGTTGTGTTTAATTTTATTTTTCTTTCAATGGTGTTGTCCAGTTTTACTTGTGGAAGAGCACCTCATTTTGTTGCACCCGCTTGCGAGTGTAATGACAAATAAATTCTTATGTCTTATGTCTTATTTTGAACACATTATCTATAGTGACAGGCTTTCTTAAAATTAATTTATGTTCCATTGTTCACATACTGGTCTCTGCAAGTTGTTGTGCTCTTTATTACTGTCACGTGTGCTGTGGTTCTTCCCATGGTCTAGCCTTGGATCTTTGAGAATAACCTTCAAAATATCCAATATTAAAACATTTTGTGCATTCTGTATCAGTTTGTGAAATTTAATGGTCCTTCTCCCTTAAGTGTAATTTTTCATTCTTCTGGTTCCTCTAGGGTCTGGGTTAAAATGTCTCATCCTATTTTTTTTTTTTTTAAGAGAATTCAAAACAATACCAAAATCAAACTTCTCAAACACTTTTGCTGCAAAAAAAGTTTTAAAGTCGTTAAACCTGAATTAAAACTCCTTTCTCTAAAGATTGAGGGAAACTCAACCACTGCTGTAAAACTTGTGGATCCAAAGGATCCTAGTAACTGAAGAGGGTTACAAAGAGATTTCTAAAAGTGGTTAGAAAAGTATGTCTCAGATGTCTAAGTTGAATCAGGAGGTATTGGGTTTTCAAAGTTGTATGCTTTGGAAAGGAACTCTTTCTTGTTAGCATTTTGAGAAACGAACTGTGAACTGTGGTGGTGCAGTGATTCGAATGCAGCATTGCAGGCTAATTCTGCTCACCTTGTCAGAATTTCGATTCCTTCGATCCTGACCAGCTCAAGGTTTACTCAGCCTTCCATCCTTCCATGGGTAAAATGAGGACCCAGATTGTTGGGGGCAATGTGCTGACTCTGTAAACCACTTAGAGAGGGCTGTGAAGAGCTATATAAGTCTAAGTGCTATTGCTATTGCTAACTCACTTTGACCCTGGTACTGATTTTGCTATAATGTCCAATTAATCCTGTTGGATTAGGTCATGTCTATAAATCTCAACTCTTGTGAGGATTTTATCCCAATCATGTTAATTAACAACTAATTGAATGACTTAATTATATAATCGATGATTTTTCCTCCTTGTGAAATCATATTTTTTTAAATTACAAATTTGAACAAAAATAGACCAGATATTGAATTTGGTTATCCTTTTAGTTTTATTTTATTTTTGCTATTCCAGATTTCTTTCCTACTTTGAAGAAGCTGTTTGGAAACCCCATCTTCCTGATCTATTTGCTCCTTACAGTCCTCCAATACAATTCTCTGGTTGGCATTATAACCTTTGAATCAAAGTTTATGGAGCAGCAGTTCAACATCTCCGTTTCAAGAGCCATTTTTCTTATTGGTAGGTGGAACTCTTCTTTTTATTATCCACACAACTTCCTACTACTCCTTTTTTCACAACATCAACTCTTTGAGATAGGTTGAGCTGAGAGAGAGAGAAAGTGATTGGCCCAAAGATACCCAGCTGGCTTCATGGGTAAGGCAGGTTTGGAATTCACTGTCACCTGGTGATTAGCCCAAAGTCACACCGCTGGCTTTCATGCCTAAGATGGGACTGGAATTCACAGTCTCCCGGTTTCTAATTTGGTCCCTGAACCACTTACACAAAACTACTAGATATTCCATGAGATTGAGCAGGCACACAAGATAAATTGGTGGACATCCTTTTCCTGTAAGAGTGAACTCTGTGTGAATAGAGAGGAGTGTTGGGTAGCAGAGAGAAAGAGGAAGAACAGGATAGAAGGGAACGCCAAAATAATATAACAAGAAATGAGGACACCAGAGATAGCAGCAGTGTTAGGAAGAAAACAGTAGCCATTTTGGTTCTGACCAGACTCATCAAATTTGGTTCTGACCTCACCCTCAGCTGGCATTGTCTCATCACCCTGCCAAAATGAGGCAGATAATTTTTACAGGTAGTTCTTGGCTTACAACCACCACTGAGTTCGAAATCTCCAAGCAAGACAGTCGTTAAGGGAGTTTTGCCTCATTTTACAACCTTTCTTGTCATAGTTCGTAAGTGAATCACTGCAGTTGTTAAGTTAGTAACATGGTTGTGAAGGAACTCTGGCTTCTCCCTGGACTTTGCACGTCAGAAGGTGACAAAAGGGGATCCAGGGACATTGCAGCCGTCATTATAAATGTGAGTCCCTTGTCCAGCTCTCGTGTCTGTGGGGATGCTGCAAAGGCCATTGGTGTGAAACACGGCCATACGTCCCCTTGTTTCAGTGTTGATGTAACTTTGAATGCTCATTAAACACATGGTTGTAAGTCGAGGACTACCTGTACTCCTGGCAGTGGGTTATGGTAATTGTGATTCTGAAGAAGGCAGTGTGTTTTGTGCTGAGTGGCACATGAGATAACATCATTGCTCCCTCTGCTTTACAGGTGTGATCGTCTTACCTATTACCATTGTGGGGATGTTCCTGGGAGGTTTTATCATCAAGAGGTTCAAACTGCACATTGCAGCCATGGCGAAGTTTGCCTGTATCACCTTTCTGACAGGCTTCCTGTTAAACCTGTTTTATTTTGGTGCCAGTTGCCAAGTGCTTCAAGTGGCTGGTTTGACTGTCAACTATTCTGGGTTTGTCACCCGGTTCCTCTTTTGGGGGTGATGGGAGGAAGAGGCAGTTAATGCATGTTTTAGAGCTGGGGTGGCGCAGTGGTTAGAGTGCAGTACTGCAGGCTACTTCGGCAGACTGCTGGCTGACTGCAATTAGGCAGATCGAATCTCACCAGGCTCAAAGTTGACTCAGCCTTCCATTCTTCTGAGGTGGTTAAAATGAGGACACAGATTGTTGGGGGCAAGAGGCTGATTCTGTAAACCGCTTAGAGAAGACTGTAAAGCACTGTGAAGTGGTGTATAAGTCTAAGTACTATTGCTATTTGTAATGTATGTTTTCTAATGCATGTTTTCTGACACATATATTCTAATGCATGTTTTCTAATGCATGTAGTGTATTCTGATGCATTTTTCTTTCTCAGAAGGGTACCAGGTAGAAAAGTTCTCCTATATCTTGTTCCCAGAGGTGGAATTCAGCAGGTTCTGACCAGTTCTGGAGAAACAGTAGTGGAAATTTTCAGTAGTTCGGAGAACCAGCAAATACCACCTCTGACTGGAAATTTTATAGTATCCTGCCCCTGCCACACCCACTAAGCCACACCCACAGAACCGTTAGTAAAAAAAAAAATGAATCCCACCACTGCTTGTTCCTCACTTTCTCATTTAATTTGGTTTCCATCAAAAGTAGCCTGGGACATTTCTTTCAATAGGGACAAGAAGATCTTAGCAATTCATTCTTATTGTTCTCTTTTGGGATCCTTCTTTCTCGCAGTGGGTTGTTTTCCAACACTTTGTTATCCTTCTGCAACCTGTAGTTCTTGCCTCTTATGCACGGATGGCATTGTTTTGGCTGAGAATAGCTCTATCTTTCTGTCTTTGGACTGATGACGGCTCCATCACTATTCCTGTAGCGTCCCAGAAGTGTCCTTCTCCAAAGAGAAGCCGTTATCTGTCTGCAACTCTAACTGTGGCTGTGAAGCGACCCTCTGGGACCCAGTTTGTGGAGACAACGGTATCACCTACATGAACCCTTGCTTAGCTGGCTGCAAAACTTCTGCGGGACATGGAAAGGATTTGGTAAATGCAGAGATGTTACACTTCATCCCTATAACGGAAAGGAAATAAGTTCTCGTTGTTTGTTTGTTTTTATTTATCTATTTATCTATCTATCTATTTATTTACTGTATCACTTTCAGTAGGAGAAATAGGCAGCATAACAATTGAATAAATAAATCAATAAGTTCTTAGTTTCCTGAGAAATGGGCCAGTCACAGAATATTAGATCTGGGCAAATTTTTATAGGGGTGCTTCACTTCTAGGCAAGCTTGTTCCCTATTGGTGCTGCTGCTCTTGACATTTATTTTATTTGCTAGATTGATACCTGTGCTTCTCTACGAAACTATGTAGTCAGGCTTAGGTTTTTGGAAGGAAAATAAGGGGAGGGGGGAAAATTCTGCCTCTGCCTACCAGCATCCATCGGTATTCATCTGGCTAGCGTCCTGTCAGTGTGTGAGAGAGTTGAGGAAACTGAAACAGTATTTGCTGTGTGAGCAAGAAGGAGACAGCAAAGAGCCTGGGCGTGACTTAGCTCAACAGTTCTGTACTAAAGCTGCTCGGTGCTGTGAAACTAAAACTGAAACTGAAACTCCTCTCCTCTGCTTGTGTTTTGCATTTGGAACAGATTTCTTTTCAGGTAGGGAGGGGGAGTAGAACTCCTTAGCATCAGAGCATGTTAATAATAATATACAAAATACTAATGCTTTGATGGTCATTTCGAAAAATCCTTTCTTAGCAAGCACTTAGAAGCCAAGAGGAACATACGTGCCAAATTTCAAGTTTGTAGGCTTTACGGTTCTGGAGATTTCGTGATGATGCGTGAGTGGTGTTTTGCTTTTATATATAGAGATTGATTGTATGTGCCACTCATCTCACAGCCCAAAACGATTCTGGACAACTTCATGCTGAATGTCATGTTGTTGGAGCTAATGGCACAATAGCCTCTTCTGACTTTCCACTAAATTCCTGGAAATCCAGAAGAAGACCCTATATTGGCAATAAAGGGTAAAACAAGTCAATATGATTGACAGAAGAGAACCCTACACACACACACACACACTGATGATGTTACTCAGTTGGGTAATGAAATGTCTGCAGGAAAACCAATAAGCATCAAGGACTCCAAAGTTCAATCCTGAGCTACAAATAGAATAGAGTAGAGTAGAGTAGAGTAGAGTAGAGTAGAGTAGAAAAGAACAGAACAGAACAGAACAGAACAGAATATCTACTCCTTTCTAGTCCTGATGATGTTATTTAGTTGGGTAATGAAACATCCGTGAGAAAATAAGAGTTGGTCCCTTTCAACTCTGTTATTCTGATGCAGCAACTAAAACCTAGTTCATAACCTGGACACATTTATTGTGGGTTTATTGTACAATTAATACCCTGTGGTACAAGTTTCATCGATGTAATTGATTAATACTTGGGGGCAGAGAACAAGATCTTGTTTTTAACGATAACTTACCTTATTTTGATACTCCATGTGGGCAAAGCAGAAGTTGGACTAGAGGATCTCTAAAGTCACTTCCAACTCAGTTATTATGTTACTTTGGAAATGATTGACATTCCTACAAAACATTAATTACATTGCTTGCATGAAGATAGAGATTTGGAAATGTAGACCAATCCAAGCCTTTACTTCATTTTTCTTTTATCTTGCAGGTATATCAAAATTGCAGCTGTCCAGGAATTTCAGGAGCTGGTAATTTTTCTGCAGTTTTGGGTCAATGTCCAAGGGATAAGTGTACAAGAGAATTCCCTTACTTTTTAGTGTTGTTGTCCATACTTGCATTTATCTTCTCTTTGGGAGGAACGCCAGCGTATATGCTTATGTTTAGGTGAAGACTTTTACATTCTTTCCTTTGTCCTTTTTTAAAGCACGGGGGGCAAACTGGTGAAATATTGTAAAATTACTGTAAAAACAATACTCTAAAAAGATTGTAAAATCATACCCTTCCATGCCATTCATTGCTTGTTTTGCAGTTTACTTCTGAGTGGCAAAAGGCAGTTCTCAGGTTGCAAACACATGATTGCATTTTATTTCCTTTTATTTATTGTGCCAGCTTCAGTACAGGTAATTCTCAACATAGGGCCAGTTGTCTAACAATCGTTCTAGGTTAAGACAGACCTACCTTGGGCTACCATCAGCCGTGGTGGCGCAGTGGTCAGAATGCAGTATTGCAGGCTAATTCTGCCAACTGCGTGGAGTTCGATCCTCACCAGGCTCAAGGTTGACTCAGCCTTCCATCCTTCTGAGGTCTGTAAAATGAGGACCCGGATTGTTGGGGGCAATGGACTGACTCTGTAAACTGCTTAGAGAGGGCTGTAAAGCACTGTAAAGCAGTATATAAGTCTAAGTGCTACTTACGACCTGGATTCAAAATTCTAACAATTGCTCCCCCCACAGTCATATAACTAAACAGGGCACCCTGCAGTAAGGGTGCATTTACAGCCATTGTGCAACACGCTTCAGTTACATGCTCACATTTTATGATGGTTTTGCCAAAACCTGGCATTTACCTCTGGCTTTCAGTAAAACTGCACCCATAGCAAACCACTAGTTCTCTTAACAAGTGTGTCTATTTGGGGATTTTCATTCATCCAGGTCATGGCTGTCCCAAAGGTGCTTTTTTCAAGAGACAACTGGACTTCCTTGTTTTTTCTTTGAAGACGTTTTGCTTCTCGTCCAAGAAGCTTCTTCAGTTCTTCCATTCCTTCCCATCCAGTCAGAGCTGAAGAAGCTTCTTGGATGAGAAGTGAAACATCTTCAAAGAAAAAACAAGAAAGTCCAGTTGCCTCTTGAAAAAAAGTGCCTTTGGGACTTAACAACTGTGGCATTCGCTGAATGACTGAAACATTCGATTTACGACCGTGGTGTTTGCCTTAATGAATTAAGATAAATATACATATCCCAGGATAATGTTGCAGGATCCATTGTTTGCTTTAAGACCACAGGGGTGGCTTTACAACCATAGCTTTAGTTTAACAAAAAGAGGTCTTTAAAATTGGGTCGATCACATGACCAACCTGTTTTACAGCTGTCGTGTCTGCAGGTGCCATTATAATCGTAAGCCAAGGACCAGCTGTAATGCATTGTTGAAATCCACCATGCGCAAAAATTTTACAACTGCTATTATAGTTCCCAGTGAAATTTCTACTCATGGAAACATATTGTTGTTACACAAATCAATTTTTCCACATCTGAAGTTGTAATTTAACATCACCAGGATTTGCCCACACTTATTTATTTAATTTTTAATCCAAAGCCTTGAGGATGAATAACAACACTGTTTAAACATTAAAACTGAATTTAAAATTTCTATGAAATGATACAAAGATTAAAATGACATAGATAAATAGGATATAGAAAAAAACATTTATTTATGTTTGTGAGCATTTAAGGATATTTAATTATACTGGTGGGTTTTTTTTTAATGGGTGAGCTTCAAGATTGGTTAATTTGAGTCATGACTAAGTTGGGTTTTGATTGTACGTTATTTCTGTTGGTTTTAATTCTGAACCATACTGGGAAGTTACGCTGACTAGCTTGTTTTCAGATTTCTACTACTACTACTACTACTACTACTACTACTACTACTACTATTATTATTATTATTATTGCTGTTGTTGTTATTTTCCTTATTAAAAGACAAATCTAAAGCAAAAGAAATAAGAGAAAGAGAATAAAAAAGAAAAAAGGAAGAAACAGAAAAAATGATAGAAAAAGAATCAGAAATTTTAAAACATATAATTTCCGACCAATATTTACAATCTTATTTTCCGTCTTCCCTCTAGAATTCATTTATTTCAATGTTCCTTGTCTAAAACTCACTTTTGAACTTCTCCTCCTCATCTTTTCAGATCGGTTTCACCAGATTTGAAATCTTTTGCAGTGGGCATTGAAGCTTTATGTGGAAGAGTCCTTGGTAAATAAATTCCAGATTTCATTTTAAATTTTAGGCAGATAACCTTATCTATTATCCATGAGATGCTCAATATTTTGGAGAGAAACTGAGTAATGTGGTATCCTAAGAGTAACATACACTGATTGTCTGTCTTCTAAATATATTGGATTCAATTGTCTGTCATGAGTGAGGTTGATTATCCCAGGTAATGTCAATTTCAGGAGAACTATTTTAAAGCTATTGGTGATGAAGGCATAACCACCCCACTCTTTTAAGCTTTTCTTATGCTCATGGTTGCTTAAGTCTAACTAAGTTTTGCTAAGTTTAAGCAAAATGTCTGGACCAGTTTGGCAATTTCTTGAAAAGGCTGGGCTGGGCTTCTTCAGTCTAAACTGCAAGCCGCCATCGGACAATTTCTTTGCTGCTGTCACTTCACTTTCTTAACCTCTCTTGGCTGACAGAACTCCAGGAGAATCCACAGGGAAGCGGTGGTCAAATAATTCAAGATGGCAGCCTACTGTCACTTCAACTTTTTAACCTCTCTTGATTGACAGAATCCCAAGAGGACTCCATAGGAAAAGGGTGGTCAAATAATTCAATTGGCAGACACACCTCCACAGTGAAAACCCTTCTCCTTTTTTCGATCACACATATAAAAAAGAGGAGGGGCTCATAAAAATTTATCAATTTCATTATTTTACCATTGTTCTCCGTTTTAGAGGTCTCCAACCTTGGCAATTTTAAGACTTGTGGACTTCAACTCCCAGAGTTCCTCAAAGCTGGCTGAGGAACTCTGGGAGTTGAAGTCCACAAGTCTTAAAATTGACTCCCGCTCCATGTGATGTGACAGTGAGCAATAGTCAGAGAGACTCCCATTGCTTGTAATATTTTATGAGGGAAACCCCTGCTGCATTCTTTTAAAATAAAGGCTAAACTGGTAATCAACCAAATTGGTCATTTAAAAATAAAGATGGCATTCCTGATTGATCCTCAAATTGACCAGGGTTTGCACCTCAGCATTCCACCAGTAAAGTTCTTTAAAAAGCTGAAAATATATAAGGCACCAAATGAGCGTCTACAGGTAACTCCTCAATTTCCAACCTGTTAGCCACCATTCAAAGTTATGGTAGACCTCCCACAGGTACTTATTACCTGGCCAACCTACATTTTGCAGTGTCCCACAGTCCCATGACATTGTTTTACAATGTTTGGTAGAAAATTGGCATTTACTTCTGTCTTTCAGCAAAAATTAGCCCATAATGATGAAAAGAATCGAACTGTGGTGGCCACTTCACCATCCCCCCAAAAAACGGTCATAAAAATGGGTCTGGCCATATGATGATTCATGTTATGATTGTCACGACTTAGAAACATAATGAGCAGACTCCATTATGATTGTAGATTGGGGACTATCTGTATTATCAACCAGCTGAACCAGTCAGTTTATCACCAGGCTCAGATGATTTATACAGGAGAACATTATGTTGAAAGTGGAAGATCAAAATGTGCCTATAAATGTCATTTGCAGTGGCTGGGGGTCAGGAGTTAGAACAGGATGTCCATTCCACATAATTTATACATACAACCAGTAGTCCCTGCACAGTCTGAAAATATGGCTCCATCCAAAGACCTTTGCACTTCCTACTCCTTGTTTCCTTTTTTTTTTTTTTTTTGGAGTTTGACCTAAGCCATTAAGTTCTCACTGCACATACTTGGCCACTGAGGTTTTTTGTCAGATTTAACAGATTGGAAGGGACCTTGGAGGTCATCTATTCCACCCCCCATCCAAGCAGGTTGTTCCTCTCAAGCCTTTCTAAGTAAGTCAAGTCTGTCTTACTTGTCCCTTTCATCCTATTTCAGGAGGGCTTCCTGCACCAATTTACTTTGGAGCTTTGATTGATCAGACCTGCTTGAAATGGAGTAGAAAAACTTGTGGTGGCTCTGGGGCTTGCAGAGTGTATGATACCAAAGCATTCAGGTAAGCCTCAAAGGAGGAAAAGAGTCTATGGTCTAAAATTGGCTGAATTGTGAATTTCCGTTGTGTTTGGGTGTGGATGAATAAATCTGTTTTCATACATTAAATAAAAATGAAGACCTTTCATAGAATAGTTATATGTTGACAAGCCTTTTATTTGTATTAATTTAGCTTTCAGGGAGAGGGAGGAAGGCAGGCAGGCAAAGAGAGTGTGGATGGATGGATGGATGGATGGATGGATGGATGGATGGATGGATGGAAGG